TCGGAACCGTCGCTCAGAGCGCTAATTACCGCGCACTCAGACAATGCGACACACGTACGCGAGCGGCGACAAGGCGGGCGGTGAGAGAGCCTGGGGGTCCGCGAGCGTAGATCGATAACACTTTCCGGCGGAAACTGAGCTTAAGCGAGCCAGCTAACAAGAGGAAATGAGGTACAACGGGGCCGAATAGCCCCGCATCGGGAAAGGGTTTCTCTCGCGCTCCCGGGAAAGGGTTCGAGGAGCCGGCGCGCTCGTAAGAACGAGACGCGGGATTGTGTCCCCGCGGGACGGAGGTTAAAGGAGATCGAGGTAGTCAAGGTGTCGGTTCACACATTACGCCATAATCCCGGTATACGGTGTACGGCATATCGGCTTGGGGATCTCGGGACGGCCGATGCAGCGCGGTGAGACCGCACCGGTCTCGGGGTTCTTAAGCTCCCGGACAGCTGGGACGGTTCATAGTCCCGGAAACGACTCCGTCCGTCCCTGTGCGATTCAGCACGTCGCGGTCGCGGTCGCCGGCTTTCGACGGCTGCGACGTAGACACGTAAACAACGGCGTCGTGTGGATGTGCGCGCGCGAGAGACATCTAGATCATCCCTTTAGCGGTGATAAGTAGTTATCTGTTACAGCTCCGTCCGTTCGGATTACCCGCGGTGGTCTTTATTTCGGATGGGGGGCTAGAGGGAGGAAGAGAGAGAGAGAGAGAGAGAGAGAGGGAGGAAGAAAGTGTTTCCGCGTGAAATGCGAGTCCTCTCGTCTCGCTGGGAGAATTACAACGAAAGGCGGGTCGCGCGCGCGCGCATTTAACGATTTTCGTTGCGCACGTCCGCGTGACGTGAAGCAGACTTCGCGGATCTTTTCGTATCACGGAATTATGTACTTAATATCGACGTCTGCTCGCTTAGTGCAAACGCCGCTTGATATTCGGAGAGATACGAATTTCTTGAAGAGCTCGAGTCGACTTTTCCTCGGCAAACATTTGACCGCAGCTCGTTATTAGCCGCGGTATTTTGCCTATTGCTCTTGGGCGTGAAAATACCTCAATGAACGCGCCTTTAGTGAAATCCCCGTGCGAAACTCGCCGCGCCAAGGTCGATTGGGAAAATTCAAGTTTCGCGCCGCGGACTCGCGCTCGGCCTTTGATGTTCCATGCGAGGTAACGTTGCGACGCCCGTCAGCTTCATAAGGCACGATCAATCACGATGTTCTCGTCGAGGAATTTGCGCTTTTCGAGATGTACCTATCGCCGAACGTCCTGTGTATCACGACGGCGTTGTACACACCAACACGCGTCGCCGCCACTGGCCGTCCGACCATTCGCCTAACCCTCCGTATCCGCATGGTGGCACGATTTATCAGAACTCGGTGCAGCCGCAGTGGGCGTACCCTCTTTCGTTCTTAACGAGTATTACCGACCCACTGACCACAGCCCTCGTTCGTCGTGCTTCCACGTCGGTCGTATTTTTCCCCGGCGAGGAGGAACGCGTTTTCGCGGGCTTCGCGCGCGTATACCTGTCGGGAGGGGGGGGGGAGGAGGGGGGGTGCACGCATGCCTCTACGCACGCTCCCGACATCTAATGCGAATTGTTGCAATTTTCCGCAATTTCGATTGCGGGAGCGGAGGCGGGTCGGTCGTGAGCGGTTCGGTATAACTTTGCGGCCAGATAAGGAACGATTATTAATTTGGCGGATACCCAAGAAAGTAATTTATAAGCTTGACTTGTATAGGACACTTCTTGCTTATTGGTCGCTTGCTTAGACGACCCCAAAGACCCTTATTACTCGCGGTTGAAGTATATGCTTATCTGCAGTCGACAGAGTCGAATGAAAGGATGATTAATATCGTCGGGCTTATTTATCGTCTTCCGTGACGATTTTTTCGGCTACATCAGCTTCGAATTGTAACCGGTTTACTGGCTCACGCCGGTCGATATCGTACTGATCGACTTGATCGACGTATGTTTAATTAACCGCGATATTTACTTGTTGCAAATGTGCACTTAGCGGCAAGTCCGACGACACTTTTGCGCTTGCAAAAGTGGACAGATAAACAATCTGTTTCAGCGTCAAAAAAATGTGGGCAAATATTATTTGATGACGGGAAACGATGTAAAATGTGCCCCGTATTTACGTAAAACATTTTTCAATAAATATCCGCGGAATTTGCAAATGGACGAGCATAAGGTAAACATCGTATTACGAACAACTGAAACTACACAACGCAAACCCATTTACAGCGGGGGAGCGGAAAAAGAGAGAAAAAAAACAGGACATTTTAGTGCGTTTCGCAAATCAACCTGACGAGTACAGAACGCTCGGCGCGCGCGAGCGTTACCTGTAATTAATTTCTGTCGAGGGGCGAAATCGGTTCGCGTCATAATCTCGCTAAGATTACACGTGGTTATGCTTTTTATCGCGCTCTCGGTGGCTTTGGACGCTTGTCGAGCATGACTCGACGAGATATACCGTGCGAGTTACGAGGCTCTAACTTCGCGACTATCAGTTGGCGGCTATCGCGCCGGTCTATCAACGAGCCTCAAACTCGCGATATGAAGCTCGTGCGAGAGTCAAGACCGAAAGAATAATCCGTCGTAGTAAGACGTAAAGACCAGCGTGTATGTGTGAGGAAGAGGTCTAATTGAGCGGTGTATCTCTGACAATATAATCTTCCCGACGTGAATTCGCTCGTAACGAGATCCCCTCAAAGTTTCGCGAACGAAACTATCAAGACTCGTCTAAGACGTTAAAATTTTCGAGGATAGGTATCTTCCCGCGAAACGACGAGCGTCGAGAAAGAGCGAGTGTGAGAGAGAGAGAGAGAGAGAGAAAGAAAGAGAGAAAGAAGGGGGGGAGGAGAGAAATGAGAAAGGGACGGTGGGGCTAATCGCGGTCAAATAAAGTTTCCTGTGCCTCGAGGGATATCGAACGGAAATTTCAAATAATTGCTCGATGCGAAGGGTTTGCCGGGCTTCCTCCGGGATAATCGCTAAGCCCACCCTTTTACCTCCTAAGCCGCGGCATAATCCAGGAACCGGTAAAGCTCCACGCGAGGAATGGGTTGAAAGAAGATGAAGCCGCGTCTCGGAAAGAGAACGACGATGGCGGACGGAATCGCAGATAGAGTCAACGGCGGACACGACAGAGAAGGAAAGGGAGAGAATGAGAGAGAGAGAGAGAGGGGGGCGTAAGGGGGAGAAGAAAGATATTGAAAGAGGCGAGAAGAGAGAAAGAGCCGAGAACGTGGATGCGTTTAGCCCGGTCACAGTCTTCTTCCCTCGCTCCAATTGAGCTTCAATAATTTGTAGGCCCGCGCCTGGTACACGGAACGACAAGTGGAAAGGAAAGAAGGAAGGAAGGAAGGAAGGAAGGAAGGAAGGAAGGAAGGAAGGAAGGAAGGAAGGAAGGAAGGAAGGAAGGAAGGAAGGAAGGAAGGAAGGAAGGAAGGAAGGAAGGAAGGAAGGAAGGAAGGAAGGAAGGAAGGAAGGAAGGAAGGAAGGAAGGAAGGAAGGAAGGAAGGAAGGAAGGAAGGAAGGAAGGAAGGAAGGAAGGAAGGAAGGAAGGAAGGAAGGAAGGAAGGAAGGAAGGAAGGAAGGAAGGAAGGAAGGAAGGAAGGAAGGAAGGAAGGAAGGAAGGAAGGAAGGAAGGAAGGAAGGAAGGAAGGAAGGAAGGAAGGAAGGAAGGAAGGAAGGAAGGAAGGAAGGAAGGAAGGAAGGAAGGAAGGTAGGAAGGAGGGAAAATCGGCAAAGGGAGAGAAAGAGAAAAAAAAGAGAAAGAAAGGGAATGAAAAAGGGGGACAAAGAGAGAAAGAGAAAAGGCACTCTCCTGCAAGCAGGATATGCGTGTAGGAGAGGGAGAGGGTTGAAAAGTTTACACGCTCCAACGGTGATGTATGGAGATTGCGCGTGCGTGACTCGCTTAGCTCCGAGCTCTGTCATTCGGTCGTTCTTCCTCGCAATGCCGCAGGGGTATCGCTGATAACCACCCTACATTGTTGAGATACCGTAAGCGGGCACCGATACCTCGTTTACGCATGCGTGCACGCAGCGGCGATACGTCAAAGTCGATAATCGTTGACTTAGATTTTAATCTTACGACGTCGAATCTCCGTCCCGTAAGCGCGCGTGAATTTCACTTTCGCTCTTTATCGAGGGGCGCGATAGGGTTTATCGAATTCGCACACGCCGGCTAAAGGCGTATAGCATCTCTGTATTACGTCCCTGTCACTTAATTGATATTCAATAATTCGTAGGAAATTTTACATTCTTGCATATGTATTTGTATCATCAATTATTAATTCTTGATAACCGACGGCTGTGCGACGGGCAAAATTGCGCGAGCTGTTATCGAAATGTATGTTAAATAATTAACGATTATAATATAGCGTAATGTTCAATATTATAATATACTGTAAATGAAACGATATGAGATAAATTTCACAATAACGCGCCCGAGCTTAACTCGACAGTCGCACGGTCTTTGAAATAACGCGCATATCATATACGACACGTTCGCGATCAATGAATCAGACGATAGTGAAAAATTAAATATTCCATCATAAACAACATCAAATAACCGAGTGTAAGTTGTATACACTGTTTCCGAGCGCGAGTCACCGCGCCCAAGGTTGCGCGACCTTCAATGTGACAACATACGTACTTGTACTTATTCGGCTGCTAGTCGCGCTTGAGATCATAACAATCCGCGCAGCGACCGCGTGTCGACACTTTAAATTCCGTCGTTCTTTGTCGTATCTTTCATTACATTATTCGGAGCTGATGTACAGAGGGAAATGCAGCACTTGCGACATTCGCATCGTGATTGTGATGTTTTAGTCAACGTGAGTATTGAGAATAACGTGAAATTAAAAGAATGAATATCGTATTGCATTTTTAGTGCATTTAAAAGAGACATACAGCTGAAAACTTTATATTTTCATTCAGTAAACCAAATAAACTCTCTATTATTGTTACTGATCAAGAAAATTCTTTTTGTTGCAGGTTTGGCAAAACTTGCGACCTCACGGCGGCAGATGCTGTCCCGGGAGATGCGGTTCCGGCGGACGCAGGAGTACCGGAGGATCCGGTTCGGGCCGAGCAGGGTCGGCTTGAAGGTGAGTTTTATACGTTCGTTATGCTTTCTCTGCTTTTTATTTTTTGCATTCAAAAAATAGTATATAGCCGCTGGAATATCTCGATTTTCGATTGCAAAATATGTAACTCGCTTATTCGCTTTAAATTGTATTCCTCAAATCTAACTGGCGAAACTATATTTTTGTTTCAGAACTGAGTAGCGAAACATGGCCGACTCTGACTTCGAAGCGGTTCGGTGAGTGAGAAAAAAAAGAAATACATTTTTAAGGTGGTGGTTTTATTTGCGAACTGTTTCGTCAGAATCAATGTGATTTACTTTTTTAGTAAATTAGTAATTTTAGTAATTTTAGTAATTTTAGTAATTTAGTAAATTTTTGCGTGTAAACTTACACATTACGTAAATACGAACGTTGTATCAGGCAGGTACTGTGGTACAAGTTTGTTTTTTTTCATTTTCGGCCAAAACCCAATTCGCCAAACCTTGCCTTATTGCCTTAATGATGTATTGAATAACTAATTCCAATTTAATTAAGCGTAACAATGAAAATTGTTATTAGTGTGTTTTATGTAAGAGCCGCTCACACGTGATGTATTTTGTCGTACATCTATAAAGAGATGAATTTTAAAAATGAAATGAAATGAAGTGAATTTAGTATTTTTTAAACTATTCTCGATTCAACGATTGATTCGGAGCGAAACGCAAACGATATATTTCGAAAATTACCCGGCTCGCCATTACTGGCTTGTATCACTACTTCTTTTGATGGTTCGATTTACCGTTTGTTCGGATACCATCGAATAAAATTCGACGTTTGAACTTCGCAAAATACATTGCGAAACGATTGCGCGTCAGAATTGCGCTATTGCGCGCGAAGCTCGTCGATAATTTCGTTCACGTCGATAGATTTCACGATCACAATTTTTAGTTTTTTTTTTAATCTCTTGTGCGCGCGTTTTTATTCATGGCGCGATTACATTTAACGAAGCATATACGAATTTTGTGTCTGATTAAATTTACTATAGCGTCTCGCTAAAATATCCGAGGCGATTTAGCGCGGCAATCATTTATCTAGAGATTTTTTCGTTCGCTTATGAATTTTGCAACTAACGCGATTTTCCATTTTCGACTTTTACACATACAGTGTAAACGTCACCACTGCGCTCACATCAGAGCGATATATATATATATTTCGCGATAGCTAATCATATTTCGGCCGCGTACACGCTGCTGATCGTTGCGTGCTTTACGTATATTTACGTCTTGTTGCTTTCCTTCTTTCGTGTTTTTTACTTTTGCATCGCGATTACGTTCTCCGGAGAAATACAGATTTCGTTAAATTAAATGCGCAGGAATATTTCGAGAATAAACTTCGCAGAGATATTGCTGGGAGTCTTTGCAAAAATATTGCGAAGCTGTCCTCGCGCAAGTGTTGCAGAGCAATCTTCGCACAAGTATCGCGAAGTAATCTTCGCGTATGTATTGCGAAATAATCTTCGTTCTTGCGGAACATGCACGGGGCGTGAAAATTTCACGCCGTTTGCGATTATTTTACCATCGCGCAACGCGTTGATCTCGCGATTTTCTAATTTGCCATTTTTTCACATACGTTCGCGTCACGATGATTTTGTTCACGAATTTCAATTCACAGTTTCCATGATCGATTTCTTTTACGCACGATTCACGCCGCGAGTATGTTGAAATCACTTTATAACACGTCCCGAATAAGTTCAATAAAATTATCGCAAATCTGAATATTTTTTTCTTTTCGTTTTTACGCCGAAGGCACCGTGACCTTCGATTCGCGTTTTATTCACGCCCGACTCGCGAGTTCGTTTTTAAATATTTTAAAATTTATCGCGCCGCGCAACGTGTATCTTCTAAACAAATATGCGGATGTCGTTCCACGATATAAATCGACGACTACAATAAAAAGTTAACGCCGGTTAAGCGTCGTTAATGGACATTAATCGGATCGTGAATGTAGTAAGGCGTAGTGAAGTGAAGTGAAGTGCAATGAAATGCGATCAACGTGGATTGATGCAAAATCGAGGCTGGACGCTACGAAGTTTCGAACGCTTTGGCTTCGTATGCAGCAGTTGGCTTCGTCGATGGAGCCGGACTGTACACGTTGGTGAAATTCAGCACGAAATAGTGAGTGTTGAATTTCACTTTCAAATTTCCATATTACGTAATACATGCGTAAATGTAAATCACATTGATTTTTTACGAAAGGCATGAATCTTAAACACAGGTTAACCCCATTGTTTAAGACTCACGCATTAACGCGGTTGTAGACATTACAGTACGATTTGATATCCAAATGACATGATATGATATAATACATGATACGATATGACACGTTATGATATAATATAATATATTTAATATGATAATTGTCTCTCTCGCTCTCTGATTATTTCAAGCTTAAACATGTAAATTATCCGTACTTGAGAACAATCAAATGATGACAGATCGACATGCTAGGCATACACAAACTTGTCCTTTCTTCATATACTTTGTTTCGTGTTTTTCGTATTTCTTGTATACACTGTGTGACATAATATTATTCGATTTAACAATATGTGAAACAAAAAGAGAGCGAGGGAAAAACGTCATGCGCATTCACATTTTTGGCTTTAATATCTTTGTTATTTTTGCTCTCTCCCGGAGAGCGAAATTTCTACGCGTTTGAATTATTTTTTCATGAAACGTGACACGGACCGGCTAAATTCGAGGTATTCTAGTGATAATCCGATTCGAGGGGCGCGGACGAAGATTAAAAGTGCGAGTTAGCGCAAGTTTGTGGAAAGCGATGATTTGGGTCGGGGAAAGTTGAGCGGTAGACCCGTGTGATCTAGACAGGCACGCTCTGAAACTAATTTTGGCTTACTCGAGATTTCACTGTCACGAGATTTATAGAACGATCCGTGGGAAGATTGAGTTTTAGGCGCTCATAAATTATTGAGCCTAGCGTCGGAAACGCGAGCGTCGTGTGCATTCAGCGTTCTAATTATCACGTTACACGTACCTATCAGCTACCTGTCGGATGCACTTTCGGTCTTGATTGAAATTAGTTCGTTCGCGGCGGACACGCGGCGCGCGTGCCAGAGTGAATCGCGCGAAGTAAAACGTCGAAAAATTTACGTCGAAATAATAAGAGACGCTCGCGCGAAATAAATCCCATTAAACGTACACTTCACGCATGGAAAGCGTAAATCAGCAGGAATCGTATTTCTTGCATATTTTGTTAATTCGCGTATTTTACTTGCTTGTAGCAAATGTGACGAACACTTGACAGAGAGAGAGAGAGAGAGAGAGAGACTTTCGAGATTTAGATTTATTAATATAATATTAGCAGCGCTATGAGAGAAAAAGTATTCGTTGAATTCCCTTGAAATGTAAAACATACATTCCCGTTGTGTAATTTTCCGATTATTTGCAATCTATAACGCGAGAATTTCTATTTGTCTAATGAAACGATCTTCGTATAACGAATTGTTCAACGAAAGAAACGAAGCATTTCTTCCACGGGGGAGGAATTTTGGAGATTTAAATGAAATCTCCTAAAAGCCTCTCATTAAGGATTCCATAAAATGGAACTGACTTGAAATAATTCGGCAGGGCAATCTCCGGGCTGAGAGAGACCGACTTGTATTTCCAATTATAAAATACATATTAAAACCCTTCAATAGATAATTACTCACGAAAGCGTACATATTCTATACAGGATGCGTCAAAAATAATGCACTTTTCGCGAAGAACCTCCCGCTTTTCTGCACAGCAAATTCGTGGTTGTTTTCAAATTGAGCTTTTGCGACGAGCATTAATTCATTAGAATCGAAACATCCAATTTTTGCGTAACAATTCGTCGCGCGATCGCGCGACGATCTCTTGAACAAACACTCTTGAAGAAACACGAACGCGCAATTGTGTTAACGCGACAAGAGAGCCGTTCCATGAGACACGCGCAGCCACGGCTTTTTCGCGTTCAAAGGAGCAGCGACAATGAAAGATCCTGTAACAATCATGGTGTTTATCCGCGCACTCATTGAAGGCGAACAGGCCGTCTCTAATTCGAGACTCGGGCGCGAGGGGGGAAAGTTAATTGAAGGCAACAATTAATTTACGATGTTGAATTAACTCGCGACAAGTTTGACAAACTGCCAAGGATGAAGGATGAGAGGAGAACAGAGCCGCTGTAAATAAGGACGCGGCGAAGCGAAAGAACGAGCTCGCGAATGACGCGAAAAGTCGGGCGAAAATGGCAGCGGAGTTGCTGGCAGTGTTGAGGGTGGCGACGAAGTGGAAGAGAGAAAGAGATCCTTAAGCCCCGGGACCAGCGAGTACCATCATGTCCTCTCGGCTCGAATTAGTCGCGCGGGATTTACTCGTCGACGGATCAGTTTTTTAATCTCCGCCGGAAACCGCGAATTATCTTGCCGTAAAGTCCGATGGTTTTTAAAGTCGCGTGAATTATCGCGGACGGTATTTCTCGTGGTCATCGCGACCGGCAACGCGGTACACACGGATAGTTTAGCAAACCACGTCGACAAGGATAATTGCGAGTCAATATGAATGAGATATTTTTGGGGATAATAAAATCTCTGTCGGGAGAGAGAAAGAGAGAGAGAGAGAGAGAGAGAGGGGGGAGGCTTTCGCGAATATTGTTGCCGCAACACGACCGATCAATTTTGTTTATTAATGTGTACTGATTACAAGTATATCGAGTAATTTAAATTTGCTTGATCCTATTAAATTCTTCAATCGGCATTACCGCATTGAACCGAGTTTCAGGATCAAACCGCTGCATTTGATATGTGAAATCGAATACGCATGAGTTCGAGATGAGCATTCGCATTTGCATTAAAACGTCCTATATTTTATGTTTAAACTCTTAGTTATTCAATCCCGTTGTTCGATACAGCACTTTGATAATCTGCTTTCGTCCGCGCGCGTGCGGATTTGTTTATATATAAATTTTTATATATATATATATGTATATATAAAATTTATATATAATTATTATTTATTTATTATATATAATTATTATATTATATTTATATATATATATATTATATATATATATATATAAATTACTGTCAGAAATGTCCGCGTGTGTGTCTGTGTGAAATCTGACATAATTTTTCAATACTCACCCGCACTCTCCGCCGGGGAATATGTTGCGATAACGCGACGGTGATAAATCCGTTTGGAAAGCCTCGAGGAACATGCGT